CAGAAGGAAACACTGCCCAGTCCTGCGTCAACCTCACAACCATTGCCACTCTTGAGCCCATTGCTGCTGCTGCCACTGTGCCAATCTATCTTTTCGGGGGTCTTCCTCTTTTTCGCTGACCTTCCACTTTACCAAGCATGTTGTCCTTCTCCAGGGACTGGTCTCTCCTGATAACATGTCCAAAGTATGAGAGACGAAGTCTGGCCATTTTGGCTTCTAAGAAGCATTCTTAGAACACAGATTTGTTCTTTTTGGCAGTCCATGGTACTTTCAGTGTTCTCCTCTAAAACCATACGTCAAATACATCAATTCTTCTATGGTCTTCCTTATTCTATTCCCTATCCAACTTTCACATGCATATGGGGTTATTGAAAATACCATGGCTTGGATCAGGCGCACCTTCCTCAAACTGACATCTTTGCTCTTGAACACTTTAAGGAAGGTCTTGTGCAGCAGATTTGCCTAATGCGATACATCGTTTGATATTTTGACTGCTGCTTTCATAAAATATTGAGAGTTGATCCAAGCAAAATGAAGTCTTTGACAACTTCAATCTTTTCTCAATTTATATGAATGCTGTTTATTGGTCCAGTGGTGAGGATTTTTGTTTTCTTTATATTGAGGTACATCCCATACCATAGGCTGTGGTCTTTAATCTTCATCAGTAAGTATTTTAAGTACTCCTCCCTTTCAGCAAGCAAAGTTGTATTATCTACATATCACAGGCTGTTAATGCATCTTCCTCCAATCCTGACACCACATTCTTTTGCATATATATAATCCAGCTTCTTGAATTATTTGTTCAGTATACAGATTGAATAAGTATGGTGAAAGAATACAACCCTGGCGCACACCTTTCCTAATCTTAAACCATTCAGTGTTCCCTTGTTGTGTTTCAATGGTTGCCTCTTGGTCTATATACAATTTCCTCATGAGTACAGTTACGGGTTCCAGAATTTTCATTCTTTGCAATGTTGTCCATACCTTGTCATAGTCCACACAATCAAAAGCCTTTGCATAGTCAATAAAGCACAGGTAAACATCTTTATGGTGTTCACTGATTTCAGCCAAGATCCATCTGATGTCAGCAGTGATATCCCTCGTTCCACAGCCTCTTCTGAATCTGGCTTGAACCTCTGACAGTTCCCTGTCAATGTCTTGTTGCAGCCATTTAAAAATTATCTTTCGAAAAATTTTACTTGCATGTGATATTAATAATACTGTCCAATGATTTCCACATTCCATTAGGTTACCTCTCTTTGGAGTATGCACAAATATGGATCTCTTCCAATCAGTTGGCCAGGCTGTTACCTTCCAAATTTCTTAGCATAGATGAGTGAGTGCCTCCAGTGCCGCATCAGTTTGTTGAAAGTTTGTATCCCATCATTTCCCAGAGCCTTGTTCTTTGCTGGTGCTTTCAGTGATCCATGGACTTACTCATTTATTATCATTGGTTCTTGAGCATATGCTACCTCTTGAAATGGTTGGACATTGGCCATTCCCTTTTGGTAGAGTGACTCTGTGTATTCCTTCCATCTTCTTTGACAAGGCCAGGGGCAGACTGTTGAACAGATCATCAATTGCTCACATGCAATTTCAGGCTGAAGCTGAAGAAAACTAAAACATGTTCATGAGAGCCAAATATTCTTGAACATATCCCACCTGAGTTTAGAGATCATCTCAAGAACATATTTGATGCATTAGACAATAATGACTGAAGACCAGAAGAGTTGTGGGATGACATCAAGAACATCATACTGGAAGAAAGCTAAAGGTCATTAAGAAAACAAAAAAAACCCAAAACCTGATGTCAGAAGAGACCCTGAAACTTGCTCTTCAGCATAGAGATGCTGAAGCAAATGGAAGAAATGAGGAAGTAAAAGAACTGAACAGAAAATTTCAAAGGACAGTTCGAGAAGACAGTTGAATATTAGAATGAAATGTGCAAAGACCTGGAGTTAGAAAACTAAAAGGGGATAGCATTTTTCAAGCTGAGGGAACTGAAAATAACAACAACTAGCATTAGGGGAAGAAAACTATTATCAAGAGATGGGAGGAGTTCAGCTTACCACTGTGACCCTCATCCTCTAGTTGGAAATGTGCCCTATCTTTGCGAGTTTCTGACATTTTATAAGATCTTTCCCAAGACATTCAAGTATTTGGGTCCCACACACACATGCAGATCTTATATGTATACCGGACACGCAACCCAAACTCTGCAGACCTTCACACCAATTGGGACCACCATGGTATGTAGTTCTGGCTGGGCTGGGAACAATGACACAGGGACATTAACTCAAGCATTTTTAATTCCAGACCTGTGCCATCTGAGAATTCAGAAAAAAATGCCCAACTTCCAGAGATTATCTTTTTATTGAAACGTCCCCAACAAAAATGCTTTGTAAATGAAAATGTCACCGAAAGTGGCCTGTTGTTTTTGTCATGACCCTTGTGTCCACAGCTCTAAACACTGGAAAGATGATAGAAAGCAAGCTGCCCTGGGATATTTTAGACATGTTCTGACATCATACAAGTGGCAGAAATCCAATTTCATTTGCTCACTCACGTACTCAGCAAACATTGGCTGAGCTCTTATAATGTGTCCGGTCAGATCTAAGTGCTGGGGATCTGCTGGTGGAAAAACTATAGAAAGAGTGCTGAACTTGTTGGGGGGCCAGAGGAGGTACAGATAATAACCAAATCAATAATAATATAAAATATTTGTATCATTTATATTATACACAAATAAATGATGTAAAATATTTATGCTAGTGACTGGTAGGGCTGCCCAAAATTGGGTGATCAGAGACGACCTCTCTTCTAGGTGATTTTTTAGCTCAAATCTGAATTGTGAGAAGCCAGTTCTCTATGTAGAGATTTGAGGAATAGAAAAACGGAAGGAAATATGTGATAAGCAGTCTAGTTTTCAGTGTAGTCCCTCATGGTTTCTACCTAGTATTTATGCTTTTGGGTAGTCCTCAGAGTCTTGGTGCCACAGTGGATCAAGCATTGGGCGGCTAACTAAAGGGTCAATGGTTCAAACCCACCAGCTACTCGTTGGGAGAAAGATGAGGCTGTCTGCTCCTGTAAAGATTTACAGCCTGGGAAACCTTAGGAAGTACTTCTGCTCTGTTCTATGGATAGGGTCATGGTCATTCAGAACTGACTTGATGGCTCTGGTTTTGCTTATCCTTTTCAAGGAGACCTGGTGGCTCAGTGGACTATGCATTAGGCAGCTAACCAAAAAATTGGTGGTTCAAACCCACCAGCTGCTCCAAGGGAGAAAGATGAGACTATCTACTACCATAAAGAAACTCTAGGGTGCAGCTCTAATGTATCCTATAGGGTTGCTATAGGTCATCATTTACTTGATGGAAGTGGGTTTGGGGGGGCGGTTTTGATAGCCCTCTTCCTTGTTGAATCTAGGGGTGAACTGTGTGGCTATTAGGATATTGTGGAATGAGGGTGAGCGACTAACAAGGCTAAGTCCTAAAAGGCATTGCAGCTCTGACATGCTTTATTGGACCACTCTTCCGGGAGAAGCCAGTTGCCGCGTCATGAGCACACTTTGAAAGAGGGACTGAGGCCTCCTGCCAACAACCAGCACCAACTTGCTAAGCATGTGAGTGGGCCATTCTGGAAGCTGAGTTTACAATCCCAGCCAACTCTTCAGATGACTGTATCTCCAGCCAACAGCTTGACTACAACCATCTGAGAGCCCCTGAGTTGGTGTACATAGTTAAACCACTAGAAGATTCTTGACCTATAGAACGTATGTTGCTGTTCTTAACTGCTTTTGAGTTGGTCCCCAGGCACAATGGGATCTGACCATTGTAATCCATGGGATTTTCATTAGCTGATTTTTAAAGTAGTTCACCAGGTCCTTCTTCTTGGTTTAGAGGCTCTGCTGAAACTTGTTCAGCATCAGAGCAACATGCAAGTCTCCACTGACAGACAGGTGGTGGCTACCCAGGCAAGACACAAACAACCAAAAATGTTAGGTACGTTGACCAGGAATCAAGCCCTGGTCTCCTGCAGGGAAGGAGAGCATTCTACCTACGATTGAGCCACAGCTGTGCCCGGAAAGTGTATGAGGTGATAAATATTTATCGTTTTTATCCACTCAACTTTGAGGTGATATTTGATGCAGCAGTTGATAACTAATTCATGAGCCTGACATATTGGAAGAAGCCAGAAGGTTCCATGACTGAAACAGAATAACTGAGGAGAAGTTTGCTACAAGATAATGTCAGAAGAATAGAGACAGAGCTTAGATCATCAAGAGCCTTCCATAGGCAGGAGCTTTATTTTGTTCTAAGTGTGATAGAAAACCATTGGAATGAAGTGATCAGATTTCTTTCTTTAAAAACAAAAAAATTCTGACATATGGGGAAAGGGACTTATTACCTCAAATGAATGGGAATTTTGGCCCCAGTATTCAAACAGTGTCATCAGAAATCTGCCTCTTTCCCATGTCTGCGTCTTCGTTTCTAATGGTGGTCTTTGTCCTCAGACAAGTTGTCTCCAGCTAACTCTCCCTCCAGGTTTGTGCCTGACCTAGGGAAGAGGGTAGAGCCTCTTTTCTTTTCCAGTGAAAAGGTCTTTGAGTGGCCCTGTTGGACTCACATGCGTCTTGGATTACTCTGGTAAAGGTCATCCTGGAACATAGAGACCATCTGATGGTTCAACCAGAAGCCCAGAGGCTAGTGAGGGTCAGTTTCCCAAAGGAAAGGCCATGTTCAACATTTGTGTAGTTGAATGAATAATGTAGGGTCTTTGGGGTTTAATTGTAATTGACTGGGAGCACCTAAGCAAGCAAGTCCATTGATGTGGGGTTTGGGTGTCAGGACAAGAAGAAGAGACTTAGGCAAGTTCAAGTTAACCTAACTCACATGACTAACTCTAGTTACTGTAAGCATTGTAGCTGCATCTACGACTCTCCCGACTCAGATGGGTCTTCCGCTGAGTCAGTTTCATGCCACCTCTTCCTTTCTTTCCAGGGATTACTCGTGGCCTTCCTGTACTGCTTTGCCAATGAAGAGGTACGTTTTCCATGCAGCATGTGAAATGGGCTGGAGCCCTAATGCCACCCCACCTCCCAGGCTTCTGTATATGGGATGGTGGCGCTATGGGGTACATGCAGGGACCAGTATTGTTGGGACAAGATTGTCTTGTGAGTATCCAGTGGAGGCAGCTTAGACACATGTTGTTGTTAAATGCTATCGAGTTGGTTCCTACTCATAGCGACCCTGCAGAGGGTTTCCGAGAAGCAGCTGGTGGACTTGAACTGCCGACCTTGTGGTTACCAGTCCAGTGCTGATCCTACAGCACCACACCAGGCACATGGAGAGGGAAGAAAAATTTTAGGATGGGCATGAAGAAACTCAGATTATAATCTTGGCCCTACTGCAGACGTGCTAGGAATATTGAAGTGCAATCAAGGGAACAAGCCTAAACTTCAGTGGGATTCAAGTTTCAGTTCATCCACTTTAGGAGCTCTGAAAGTTAGAAGGGGATTTAACTTCCTTGAGACTCAGTTTCCTCATCTGTAAAATGGGAAGAATAAATGCCTATCTCATAGAGTTGCCCTAGGCGTGGTAAGACAATAGTAGATAATTATGATAACTATGATTATTTCTTTTATTATTATTATTATTCATACTGTGCAACCCAAACCAGCTCTCTGCTCCCCTGGGAAGAGGCTAGAGAAGGGGAAGGGCCGAGGCTACAAGAGGTTTTCTCCTGTTTCAGGAGATGATGGTACCCAGTCCCATTCCATCCTGTCTCCCATCCCAGGTTTAAATATTTATTTCCTTCTCCTCCCACTCGAATGTAAGCTGCTTTTATTTCTCCAAGTACACTGTAGAATTAAGAAACACTGTTTTATTTGTTGTTGTTAGGTGCCATCGCATCAGTTCCAACTCATAGTGACCCTGTATAGGGTTTTCAAGGAGCAGCTGGTGAGCTTGAACTGCCAACCTTGAGGTTCAAACCGACCTTGCAGTCCAGTGCATTAACCCACAGTGCCACACCAGGTCTCTCTGCCTAATTATTAGAGACGAAAGGAAAGTTCATGAAAGAATAAGTTGCATTAATTTTTTGAAACATTTTATTGTGTTTTTTTGTTCTACATTTTCCTCCCATTCTAACCAGGACCTTCTATAGTGTCCTGGTCAGAATGGTCAGTCATGGTAGTTGGACACCATCTAGCTCTTCTTGTCTCAGGTTAGAGGAGACAGTAAACTAATTGCTTAGTGGACCACTTAGTTCGTCTTGTGGACCAACTGCTTCCTTGATTCTCTGGTTTCCTTTACTCTTCTTGCTGCAGACAGGAAGAAACCAGTAGTTGTACCTTAGGTAACCACTCACAATATTTTAACACCTCAGATACTACTCAACAAACTAGGATGCTGTCTTTATGATCAACATGAGGCCAGTGGGTCTAGTTGTTCCCCGCGAGACTATGGAAACTTTTTAGGCAAATCCAGATACCTCCTGGGACTGAGTTACAGGATATTTGGACATGTGCGCTATATATATGTTCTATACATATATAGGCAGCACATAAAACTATATATGTACAAATGCCTACATGTACTACACCTATATATATAGACTCTCATATGACCCCCTCAGGAGCTCTGGTAGCATAATGGTTATAAATTGGGCTGCGAACCACAAGGTCAGCAGTTCGAAACTGCCAGCTGTTCCATGAGAGAAAGATGAGGCTTTCTGCTCCCGTAAAGATTTGCAGCATTGTTTTGCAGCCTCAGAAGCCCTGTACAGGATCACTGTGGGTCGGAACTGACTCAATGGCACTTAACATCAACAACAATCTACCTGTGTAACCACTCAAAAATTTGGTTACTGTTACCATCGTTGCAGAATGCCATATATTACAGCATTTACCCTAGTTTTCCTTAACTTTGCTTACCTCTCAGTGCCTTCAGTTACTTTGGCCACGTGGCACTGACTTCCCTATATTGTGTATTACTTTTCACTTCAGTATTAATACATGTCTACTCTCTAACAATTCTCCCTCCTTCTCTTTTCCTTCCCTGGTAACCATCAAAAGATGTTTTGTTTTGTTTGTTTTTCTGGAAATTATTCTTGACTTCTTATCAAAGTGATTTCACACAATGTTTACAATTTTGTGATTGAATGATTTCACTCAACATAATGTCTTCCAGATACATCCATGTTGTGTTTTACAAACTTATCACGACTCTTCATTGTTGTATAGTACTCCACACTACGTGTTACCATATGTTGTTCATGCAGTCATCCATTGATGGACACTTAGATTGCTTCCATCCCTCCAGTTTCACTGTGAGTTAATGCGTTGAACTGCAAAGTTTGTTTGAACCTCAAGGTTCAAGCTTACCAGCTGCTTCTCAGAAACCATATACAGGGTGGTTGTGGGTCAGAACCGACTTGACTCAACAACAACAACAAAATATATATATATATGGAGCTGTGATAGTGTAGTGGTTATGAATCGGGCTGCTAATCTCAAGGTCAGCAGTTCGAAACTACCAGCTGTTCTATAGGAGATAGATGAGGCTTTCTGTTCCCATAAAGATTTACAGCCTCGGAAACCCAGTGCAGGATCACTATGAGTCGGAACCGACTCCATGGTACTTAACAACGACAACTAACATATATACATATATATATGTAGCTATAAGGAACACACCAGAGTCCCGGTGTGGCGCTGTGTGTTAATGCCCTGAACTGCAAGGTCGGTTTGAACTGAAAGGTTGGCAGTTCAAGTTCACCAGCTGCTCCTTAGAAACCATACATAGGGTCTCTGTGAGTTGGAACCAACTCAACAGCACTTAACCACAGCAACAACATAATATAGGTGTGTGTACTTAAGTCACAGCTCTTACTTCGCTAGGATATATACCTAGCAGTGGGATTGCTGAACCCTATGGTAGTTCTCTTTCTAATTTTTTGAGGAAGCATAGTGGTTGTACCATTTTACAATCACACCAGCCATACATGAGCATCCCGATCTCCCCACAGCCTTACCAACATTTGTTCTTTTCTGTTTGTTGTTGTTATGTTACATTATTTTAAATCAGTGCCATTTTTTTTTAAGGTTTTTATTGTGGATTGAGTAGAAGTTTACAGGGCATATCATCAGTTTTACATTCAACAAATCATATACCTTGTTTCGTTACATTGATTATAATCCCCTCCATGTACCATTAGTTATCAGTATTTCTCTCTATCCATTTTAGCTTTTTAAAAAACACAGAAACAAAAAAAAACCACTCAGTCATATATAATGAATTACATCCCAAAGGGCACATTCTGCAAGTCTGCTCCTGGCCACCAGTTCTTAGTCCTTCTCTTCTTAGTTGATGAGTCTAGAGTCCTCACCTCTCCCCATCTCCATGCCCCCATCTCTGCCTCCATCTCTGGCACTGCTGCTTCTCTGGATAAGGTCCCACATTCTATTTGTGCATTCCTCTCTTGATGGTC